CTCGTGACTCATCCTCCTCGCTTGTTCGAGCCTTATAACCCTCGCTCGTTCTTGACTTGTCTTTGCTCGTTGGCCCTCATTTATCTTTTACTTTGAACCGTTTTGTTGCTCATATTATTTTGCTATAAAAAATGAAATAAAAAAATGAACAAAAGAAAAACAGGTTCTTGGATAGACCCCATAACCAGGCCAAAAATATAGGGTAGTTATAAGGTCGGTTATTAGGCAAACAAGGTAGGTTACAGCTTCCAAAAACTAGGAACCGGTTCTAATATGGTAGGTTCTCGATTGCAGGTCTGAAACTTACCTACCCTAGAATCAATTACCCCTAGTTGCGACGATCTAAGGGAGGTGGTGACTATTGGACTTGTTAATCGCGAACCATGTCGGTTTTTGTGTGTTATGGCATTTTGTATGGGGCTTATGACAAAATAATGTTATTACGGCGGATATAGCAATCGGCCTCCGGGTGGACCTTATATAGAATGGGCTTTCGAAAAGTCTCAAACGTCCTCATTGAGAGTCGTTCTGTGAGAGTGTCCATTGTCTCTGGCTAGGTCTTTGAATCACATGTTTCATCCCGTTCCCAGCTTGCCTTGCTCTCGAGTTGGCCCTTCTACTCGACTAAGTAGTATTCCACTTGTGCAGTGGATGCATGGGCTAGCCGCTATATTTTCTTCAAACCATGCGTCTGATTGGTTGGTTAAAAATGTAGACATTACCCACCTTTAATTTTAGTTAAGTTTGCATGTGAGCAATGCCCATAACTTGTAAATGTGCTAATCAGAGGCATTCCTCCAATTACGAATGGAGGACAAGATAGCCCGTACAGAGGAATCCTCAACCGCGCCGGTGGAAACTTACATACTTGTTTTCTACATGCAAATGGTGTTACTATAAGAACATGTTGCACGTTAACGTACATAATGATTGAACCGACACGGCTCAAATAATGCTTATGATAAATGCCTTCACTGATAAGTGAACTTGGGACGCCTTATTATTGAGGTCGTCCCGTCTTCATTGACTAATTTGCAAGGGCTCTTAGGTGGTACGAGTATTGCATAATTGCATGCGTAAACATCAAGGAAAAAACCCTACATATGTTCGGCAGCCTAATATGAATTGACAGACTTGCCTTGTATGCATGACCGACAAGAGAAATTGCGATCGACGTGACCTGTTATCACGTAACGTGGACCCTAATTATTGGTTGCACCCTTTCTAATTTCAACACAATTTTTATATCTAGAAATTTCCCTGACCAATTGATATTGACACGCGTGTAGAAATTTTGTATAGCTTTTCTATATGTAGCATGCATTAATGGTGTTTACGAGACAATATTGTCTTCCGATAGAGTCAATCTAACGTGAACCCGAAAGGCCGTATTCGGTATAAGTAATGTAGGCCGGGAAGGAATCTCGATTCCAAAGTTCTTTCCTTCGGCTTGCAATCGTAGCGGGGCGAAATAGGCATTCCGGTCTCGATAACAAGAATTAACGTCCCTTTCCGACAACATAAAATGTTTATCCTTGAGTTCGCCTCTACTTTGCTTTCTTCTCTTCTTCTTCTTCTTCCGTAGCTTCTTCTTAAAGACATAATTACTGTTCGATGTGAGGTACGTGCAGTCAGGTGGAGCGCGCCGTCGTAGTTTTGGTATTTTGAATAACAAACTTTCAGATGTTCGCTGGACGTGGAAGTGACTTTGGCTATCATGTTTTCTGGGTAGCTACCGGACTTTCCATGGCTTCTAGAGAAGTATTGAAGTTTAAGTGTGGAAAGAAAGATCCAGAAGGAAGGGTAGGCGACTTGTGTAATAATTTAGATAAACCCTACTTTACATAGATTATATTACTTAGGTATGATTTTGGTTGGTCCAAGAAGATAAAATGTGTGTGTCTTCTTGGGGCAGCGTGGGCAAAGATTAATTAATTGACAACATCTCCAATGACCTTCCATTAAGGTTAGATCAAAAGACAAGCGATGCGAAAAGCTTTGACGACTCCTTTCACGTGCAAGTCGGATCAAGCGGAACCCGAGTCTCGTACCATGTAAGAATGTCCAACCCAAAAACTTAACGCGGAACATATATGTCCCATAAGCAAGGGATGCGGAATGCTTTAACACTCCCCTTCACGAGTGAGCCAGATTGGGAACGAAACATGGACTTTGACGGGCCACACGGAAAACAAATTGAGGTAGAACTCGGCTCTAATACCACGTTAGAATGCCCCACCCAAAAGCTTAAACTTATAAATGGAAAGGACCACATGTTCGTAAAGAATATATAAAACTCGTAAATAAGCAGTGCGAGGTGATTTGACAAATCAAATTTTCTCACGTCTATCTTTTGAATTTCGATCCCGAATAATGAGATTTTCTCTCCGAGAGTTGACCTTTTATATTTTTAATTAGTGAAGGTCCATCCAACTAATTATCATAAGCAAGTAATCTCATCGCTACAATCACAAATTTTTGGCATGCGTGTGTGGAAGATGAAGTTTAGTTTGGTTTAATTCCAAAGAGTGGTCCCCAAAATTACTCATGACGATGGAAAAAAAAGAAAAGTACGAGTGCAAGGCAAGGGCAATAATTGGACGTGTAGGATGCAGCCTCGACAAAATAAAAACAGGACCATATCAGGGTGAATTCCCTAAAAAATCCTCAACTTTAGGTCAAATCCCAAATCTGTCATGAACTTCTTTTTATCTCAGAAAAAACCTCAAACTTTAGGTCCAGTCCCAAATCTGCCCCGAACTTTTTTTTGTCTAAGAAAAAACCCCAAACTTTAAGTTAAGTCCCAAATCTGCCCCAAATTTTGTTTTATGAAAAAAAAAACCAAAATTCAATTTATTTTAAAAAATATACCCCCGTTATCCAGTCCCAACTTGATGTAGCATTTCCACATCGATAACAAATCCACATCAGCAAAGTAATGGGGCAATAGGTACATACCGACGTCGCATTTCCACTTCGATAACAAATCCAACCCAATAAAAATTGTTGAAATTCTCCAAAATAAAACCGTTCTAGGATATGAAGTTAGGGACGATAACAAATCCACCCCAAAAAACATTTTTTAATTTAAAAAAAAACCCCCTATTTTTAGGTTAAGTCCAAATTTGCCTTGAACTTTCTTTGTCTAAAAAAAGCCCAATTACTTTGTTGATGTAGATTTGTTATCGATGTGGAAGTGCCACGTCAAGTTGGGACTGGATCACGAAGATGTATTTTTGAAAATAAATTGAATTTTGGTAATTTTTTTTACACAAAACAAAATTTGGGACAGATTTAGGATTAGACTTAAAGTTTGGGGTTGTTCCTAAACAAAAAAAATTCGGGATAGATTTGGGACTGGACCTAAAGTTTGGGGTTTTTTTAGGGAATTAGGCCGACCATATCATGGTTTAACATTTTCTAGAATTTTCGGAATTTATACTCTGAATTTTATTTAATTCTAGACACTTATAACCTTTCGAAAACATTTAAATTCCGACTTATCAAAATTTCATACAGTTTTCTCATTTTGTTTCTTGCGAAACTTAAATCATATTCTTCTTTTCATATTCTAATTTTAAAGGAAGAGTCGTAAGTAAAAAGGTCAGGAAGCCGCCGACGAGTTACAGATAAGCGGGTGGCCTCTGTGATGCTCCGACTCAAGTCTCATGAATATGCCGCGTGCGTGTCTCTTCGTTCATTACCAGGAGGATCACGTCGAAGGGGCGACAATTTCCGACACAACATTAAGCGCGACTCGATAGACACGATCGTTTGTCGTATGTTCTTCGTGCTGATCTCGCGCGGTCTAATTCCATGGATCTGTGGCACGGTGTATATGGAGAGTTTGGTTACGCAGGGGAGCACGTGAAACCTTCGCAAGGACAAGCATTTTGGGCAATTTCAATCATGGAGCCGTCGGACTAAAATAATGTAAAATTGTCAAAAGACCTTTCTCACGGTCATGGTCAATAATTTGTTCCAACATGGCCTGCCGCCACAAATGATGATAACAATAATATAGTAAATTGCTCCATCCACGCACCTGGCTAACAAGATGTCACTACGTTCTGTTTTTTTTTTTTTTTTTAATATGATCGAAAACCTGTTACCCGGTAGCTATATCTTTATCCCGCGAAATATCTCATTGATCTCATTGATCGAAAAAAAAAAACGCGACTCATAATTTGTAACGAGTGGTCCGTGTTCGCACTCGGTACCATGGAGAGCCGAACATGTACCGAACTTGTGTCGTTCGTCTAATTCACTTTCTATGGACCCAATGTTCAAACAAGACTGAATCCGATAAAAACCCATTACCATGCAGATAAATCTTTATCCTGCGAAATATCTCACTGACCTCATTGATCGGAAAAAAATACGACTCAAAATTTGTAACGAGTGCTCCGCGTTCACAATCGGTACCATGGAGAGCTGAACATGTACTGAACCCATGCTGTACGTCTGTTCCACTTTCCATGGACCATCGAAAAATGCCGGGTCCTGTCAGGACCACACCAAATCCAACGATCCGGATTCAATTTAGCATATGTACGGGACTTCACGCCCGCTCCTCGTCGACCGGAGCAGCCGCCCCACGGGGGTTTAGTTACAAATAATTTGGAACGCGTTGATTGAAAAAGGACAAAGAGAAAAGGGAGGGAGGGAGGAAATTGTACCAAGAAAATAAACAAAAGAGGGAGAGAAAAAGAAGACTTCTCATGAGTTGGGCTAGGGTTGGAGGTCACATGATCACGGGTGGGATAAAAAATCAGGCACGTTGCGAGCGTGGTGCAGTGATGTGAGGCTGACGAACGTTTCAAACTTGACATTCCACGATCGACCTCCCCCCCCCCCAACCTCAAACTTGACATTCCACGATCGACCTCCTTCCAACCCCCCCCCCCCCCCCCTGGCTCTTGCCTTTTAAATGCGGGGCATGCCCGCAATCCCAAGGTCCATCGTCACTCCCCCATTTGACCCCTTCCTCTCTCTTCTCTTCTCTTCTCTCCTCTCCTCTCCTCCAGGTGCATGCAAGAATTCAACAGAGAGGGAGGGAGAGAGAGGGAGGGCGAGAGCAAGAAGATGGGGAGGAGCCCGAGGTGCGACAAGGACGGGCTGAACAAAGGAGCATGGACAGCTGCTGAAGACAAGATCCTGATGGACTACGTCAAGCTTCACGGGGAAGGCAAATGGAGTCGGCTCTCCAGGGAAACTGGTAAAACCCACCGGAACGTATCTCCCTACTTTCTCACAATTCATGCACGGGAGCCGCACGCCCAGTTCACTTCTGGGTTTGTATACTGCAGTTCAATGCAGGGATGTCGTCTCTTAGATTGTTATGGATCCCTCCTGTACTTCTGATGTACGCAAAACTTGGCGTTCGCGTGACGCTGTGCGGATAGGTACTCGGCATCCAAGAAAGCACGTGTGGTTGTTGCAGCAGTTGCTCCAACAGTCAGAATTACTAATCCTAGGCAATTGTCCTAATGAATGGCATCGATGCATTCGAAATCGCAGTACGGCCTGAGCAACAAAAAAGGTTTTCCACTAGCATTCGTTGTGAAATAGTAGCTCAAATAGGCTCGTGGACGACAGCTGAAGACCGTACCTGGCCTTGATTTTCTTGAGTGCTGTTAACCTTTGATGATGAGAGTTTGCACTCCGGAAACCCCACTGCAATAATTGAACTGCAGAATTATGCCTAGGACTGTTCCTGGGAGAACAAATAGTCAAGACTTGGTTTTTAGAGCCTCTTCCGCTTTAAGCTTCTTTAATATCAATCACTTTTGTGCTCCTTTTGTCTTTCATTACCTCTTATGTATTTGGCAGGCAGTATTGTTTCCCCCTTTCTTGATAACAACAGATTGCACTAGTCCTCTTCTTGTTGGACTTCTCTAGTCTTTCTAGAGATCCTCCAATAGTATCTGCTAAGCACTATATTTCAGAACAAATTAGAAAAAAGCTAATTCGGTAAATCAGGCTAATTGTGCTTCGGTTTTAACTTTCTATGACTCTCGTGAAGGTCTCAGAAGATGCGGCAAGAGCTGCAGGCTGCGTTGGATGAACTACCTTAGGCCCGACATTAAGAGAGGGAACATCTCGCCCGACGAAGAAGAACTAATCATCCGGCTTCATAAGCTATTGGGCAACAGGTTCAGATCATCATGTCCTTTTTATTTTAACTAATAATTCTAGCATTAGGAAACCTAGCTGGACAAAATAAACAAGCCGAATCTATGATCCCGCAGATGGTCGTTAATTGCTGGAAGACTTCCGGGGCGTACAGACAATGAGATAAAGAACTATTGGAACACCAACTTGGCCAAGAAGCCCGAAGCAACGAGATCGGTCCAATTTCACTATTTGCCAAGAGAGCTGACGGTCCAACCTCATGGGACATCGCAGCAAGAGCTGGAACAGGAGAGGGTGCTGGAAAGCAACATTCATGGAGTCGCCAATCCAGAGCCACAAGTTGCTCAACAGAATGCTACTAAAGTGGAATTGGGACCATCCCCAGATGGCAATGACTTGCTGAAGCAAATGCTTTCAGACTCGGATATGAGTGACGGGTCGTTATCGTTCAACTCAGAGGAGGAATCGCCAGACTTCATGATCGATTTTAACGTGGACGACATTTGCCAGATCCTCGACTCCGATTTCTCCAAGCTCGGTGCAGAACAAAACGGTTATGTCCACGACGAGGAGCAAGAAAGCAAGTTTCCGTCTTATATAAATCAGCAATTCGTGCCGTCCGAGGAAGCGGGGAAGGATCTGAACGATAGCTTACGTATCCGAGACGATTCGGTCTCGGCATTCCAATCGCTGGCATCGTTATTTGAATCGGACGACGAGAAATGGGCAGGAGATGGCGATAATGTGGACTTCGCTTTATCAGGAAAGAATGGTTGATTACCTAGCTGAGAGTAGTGTAGTCTTGGAGTTGGTCACGATAATCAATCATGATCTTGAAGATTCATTTCATCTATAGGGTTTAGAGATCCATGTCACTCTCAGATAAATATTTGTGTTATCATTGCAATTCTCCCAAGCAAGCGAGCGGGGTTTCCACCAGGACACTGGATCTATCCATTTCAAGTCTCAACTAAATGGGCAAGAACAAGTACAAGCACGGTGCAATAAATCAATGTCACAAAGATTAAAATTGCTTTGAATGATTTAAAAAATATTTTCCTAAAAATAATCTCTTGAAATAGTTAGTCAACAATATATATTTTTATTATCAGTGACAATTTATGTCTAGACATTTTCGTGAATAATGTAAATATTTTTCGTTCATTCGTTTTTATAAGTGATTTAAGCTAGGGGTGAGTATGGTTACCTGATCGATGGAAACCCGTAAGTTCCAAGTTCCAAGATATGCATGGGAACCTATTTCGACGGACAAGTTCTAGGTTTCAAGAAACCTGAAACCTTAAACAAGTTTTTTTTTTTTTTTTTATGTTTTTTCTTGATCTATGTCTTCGAGTGATCCTACGGTATTTCATGGCATTATATGATGAGTGTATAATCCGGAACCACTAGTTTGAGCTTTCATTTTATGACTTGATAATGTTTTATATCCTTCGTGTGTCTAAATATAAGTTGTGATCAGTGGATCGTAACAGCAAGTGGTGATCATTAAAGGTGACGATTCACTGCAATTGTTCAATTTATAATACAGGTGGAACCTGGGTAGATCCTAGAACTGACCATGAAATCTGTGACAGGGTAGGTTTTAGGTTTCGAAAAATGAGAAACCTGTTCCCATAGGTAGGTTCCGGGTTCTAGGTGTAACTTGTATGGAACTTGGAATCGCTTACCCTTAATTTAAGCGATTATTTTTTGATAAATATTTTTAAATTATTTATTTTTCGCGAAATAAAAATTTGGAGACAATGATAGTTTGCCCAAGAGCTGTCCTTTTCATGCTTGACGTACAGATGGCAAAGTGGCCAACTAACTTTCAGTCAATGACAGTTCGTGGACGGGGTGACAGACAAGGACTTGATCAATGTCCTTTAGGCCTCCATGTGGGGGCCTTCATAGTTTCTTTGTTTATCTTTAATTTTTTGGAAGAAAAGGGTCGAGTGCTGGTCATTGTTGCAGTTAATTCGTGGGTTCCGATACTCGTAGTGCAAATTTTGGTCAGTCACTTATCTATGTAATGATTTCCTTCCTGGATAGCTGCGGCGATCACGATGAACCCTCGATGATTGAACTTCTTTCGGCTGTGAAATTGAAAATCACTCGTTCAAATTTCAGCAACTTCACATGAATCAAAGGCCTGAATTTAATTAATTCGTGAGTGAGCGAGGTGTTTCATAAGCATCAGTTAGTCGAGACTACATGTCCGTGTCCTTGAGTCATGAAGAAATCATATATGACTTGCTTGATAATCAAGTTGTGCAACGCCTAAATCAAGATTAAAATCGTTTGGACTTAAAATGCTTAATTAAGTTAAGAGTTCGCCTCTAAAGGTTGAAGTAAAAGATGATATTTTTTTTTGTTTATTCAACAGAGAAATATTCAATGCAAATTAGAGGATTCTCAATTATTTTGCAAACCTACTGATATTGTTCACAATTATATATACATGGCACTAGAGTTTAAGACTGTTATCAAACTTTTCCTTTCAGTTTCAGCACTTCATGCCTGCAATAATAATTACATGCTCAAACTCTGAGCACTTAATTTTCAGTTTCATTAAGATAAGTCATAAGTTTTGAAAAGGGACTGAAGGGCCTCGTGGGTACAATGGAAAGGAGACAGATAGATCGGGCCTTTCAATCGACTTCACATGCTTAGAGAGAATGCAATGGAGAGCTGGGCCAATCGAGGACTCGACCTTCAAATGAGATTCACTACTATGCTTGGACCACCCATATGGAGATTGTCGCCCGGCTTCGCTTCTGTTTTCATCAGCAACTAAAGAAGAGGCGCTTTGTTTCGATAGTGCCATGACGTAGGATAATTCCAGCTTTGCTCCCATTAACACCGTGGTGAGTGGCGGCGACATGCTCGCTCAAAATGCGCAGTAGGTATGACCCAAATAAAGCGTTACGTCACGGCTATGAAACTCTCATATCACGCACAGGAGGATTGCCGACACTAGTTGGCCCATCCGTTTATTTTACTTGCAATTGGACAGTTTTTCTTTGTTTTAGATTCATGTATCATGGGCGTCTAAAATCAGGTGGATTCTAGTGACAAGACGCAGCGGAACGATAACTGGGGTCACCAATCATATAAAATAAACGATTAGGAGGCAAACCGTATTCAACTTACTCTCTTGAGAGGTTGACATATCAGCACCTTAAAATTCAAAGGCTATAGAATATATTGTTCGAAATTCTTATAAAGGTGGAATAACGCTATAATATTTAAGTTTGTGAAAAACAAGATGTTCTAAAGGAAAGAACATATGAGACAATGTTTGATAACCAGAGTACGATTATTCGGCTATGTTGGGTTCATATATCTCGATTTGGTTTTAAAATTTGGTTAAATGGTCAATGTAAGCCAATATTTCGACATTGACTTGTGATGGATGGGTCTACAACCAAAAAAGTCCAATACCTATTGCACTTGTGCCAATTCATTCCTAAACCTTTAATTTGACCATGTTTTTTGTTCAAATTTTTGGCCAATTGAGTCTTAAATCTTTTGACATTTTGCCAATGTAATCCATTTGGCCAATTTTGGCCGAATATCGCTGACGTTGATACCGGCCATCCTATGTGGCACGGTCAGCATTAATTTGGAAAATTTTTACAAAATTTTTATTTATTTTTTCTTTTCTTTTCTTTTTCGTTTTTTCCTTCGTCCTCTGTTGGTAGCTGAGCCTCGTTGACCGACCAAAGGCGACTAACGGCGAGGATTGCCCTCGCCAAATTCAACAAGATCGAGCCTTGCCAAAAACCAGCAAGGGTCGCCCTCGCCAACTTCGGGCGAGGATCGCCCTCGTTAGATCTAGCAAGGGGCGACCTTGCCAACCTCGGGCAAGGCTCACTACGCTAGATCCCGATGAGGTCGAGCCTCACTCAAGGCTGTGAGGTTGCTTCTCACCAGATTCGAGATAGGGTGACCTCGTTTGAGGCCGACAAAGGCGATCCTCGCCAGTCAATGCCTTTGGTGGGTATGAAAAAAAGTAAAAATATAAAAAATTTAGAAAAATTGCAAAAATTGTCCACATCCGTGTCATCCATGCCACATAGGACGACCGGCATCCACATCAATGATTTCCAGCCAAATTGGCTTGATGGATTATGGGCATGTTTGGTTCAACTTTGAAAATGCTATTTGGGGGAATGGCAAATACCTTTGGGTGAAAGCCCATTGGGGAAATGCAAATGGTGTTTGGTAAAAATATTTTATAAAGCTACTTTGGCCAAAATATAGTGTTTGGTGAATTTTTTTTGTAAATGGACTTTGAGAATTATCTTATTTATTAAAAAAAAAAACTAACCTACCCATCGCCGGAGCCGGCCGCCGGCGATGGCCTACGGCCGCCGGCGAGATAGATCTGGCGCCGGCGACCGTCGCCCATGGTCGGGAGACCCCCGGCGAGCCAAATCTGCCGCCGCCGCCGGTCGCCCGAGGCCGGGCGACCCTCGGCGGGGTCGCGCGACCCGGCGACGGCCGCTGAGGTAGCGCGACCCGGGCGGCCGTCGCCTGGGTCGCTCGACCCGAGCCGTCGCCGCTGGAGTCGCGCGACCTAGGCGGCGACGGCCCGGGTCGAGCGACCCCAATGACGGCGTCGCCTGGGCTGTCGCTCAATCCCAGGCGACCTCGCCGGCCCTTCTCCCTCGCCGGCTGCCTGGCGAAGAAGATGAACAGCTTCAAACCAAAAAAAAAAAAAAAAAAAAGACGTGAACAGTAGCATTCGTGGAATGCTGAAAGCCCAAGGCTGGTCCGGACCAGCTTTGGGCTTTCAGCATTTGGAATGCTAGCATTGGCCAAATGCTAGCATGAAAGCTGAACCAAACACCCCAGCATTTTGGGAAGGGGCTTTCGAGGCTCAAAGCCCATTCCCAAAGCTGAACCAAACACCCCCTATATAGGCAAATTTTCAAAAGGTTTAGGACTAAATTGACCTTTATGATTGAATTTGCTCAAGTGCAATAAGTTTATGACTTTTTTGGTAATTTCCTCAATAAATAAATTATGATTTATCTATCATGGCCATCTAAGGGAGGAGAAGGTGAGTAAGACCGAGTCTTGGTTTTGTATGCCTTCATCCGTATCGGTTTTGTCACATATCTTTCCTCTTCATCGTCATACCCAGTATCAAAATGTCATTTATTTCTATTATTTAGAGATAGTTGCACGTGTTATATATGGAGTTGTTACTTTTATACATTGAAGATGCGTTTGATAGCCTAGATTTGAGTTTGGATAGAATACCAAAATATCATATCCAATATTTGGTGACATTCTTCAAACCGGATAAGCCCGGATAATTCAGATTAGAAATCCGAATTAGGGGATGAGATAAACCCGGATTGGACACAAAATTTAAAAAATAGTGATCAGTGCACTAGAAATCCTAAAACTTGTCACGAAAATGTAATTGAGTCCTAAAACTTTCAAAAAATGCAGCAAGTCCTAAAACTTATCACGAAACTTTCAAAAAGCTCAATCAAGTCTTAAAATTTGTCACGAAAATGCAATCAAGTCCTCAAACTTTCGAAAATGTAATCAACGGAAGGACTTGATTGGACCAATTTGACAAGTTTTATGACTTGATTGCATTTTTTAAAAGTTTTAGGACTCAATTGCACTTTCGTGATAAGTTTTAGGACTTAATTGCACTTTTTGAAAGTTTTAGAACTTCCAATGCACTTATCCCTAAAAAATAACTAAAACATTCGTATTTTATCTTTAAAAGTAGAGATAAAGAAGAGATAAAGTGACGCACTGGATATTGATTTGCCGGCACCGCCCGCCTAAGGACCACCACCAAAATTACTGATCATTGTCACTTCCAACCACTGCACGATTGCTATCGCCATCGCCTCCAACTACCTTGGTCATCACCGCCGAGCAACG